TGATGTCAAATTGTTCATCACAGACTATTAACACCAACAATACCCATTTAATCAACTACACTACAACAATAAACTCATCCAATAATAATGAAAGTATTGTCATGATGAGTGTAAAACTAACACTACCTGAAAACAAGTTTCTCTCTTTAAATTTCACATTACATTATGACAACAACAAAGAAATGGTATCACAAACACATGAAATTAGTAAGTTAGCAATCAATTTTACATTTATTATTTTAAACAGATACTCATGATGTTTTGACTGCTACCATTACTGACATAGAAAATGGACTGATGTGCCTTTCCATTGGTTGCCGTGAGAATAGTAAAGCGATTGGAGCTGCATTAATATTGAGGAGTGAGAGTGGCATTATTATACGTAATAATTCAGTCATGAAATCAGTTAATCAAGACAATTGCAGTCTTGAAACTTGTCTATCTAATTTACCAACCAATAATTATACTTTGTATGTATACGACTTGGAGACAACCCCGTTTGTTTTGAATGATGAAGTCCCAGCTGTAATCATACCATCAATAAATATTACTAGAACCATTATTACCAGTAGTAATGTGCACAGTGTATCATTGTACAGTGTTACTGTGCAATCATCAATTAGTGACATAGTGATAAGTAGTTGGAGTACAGGTAAGTCAAGTGTTATGCTAACTTTTCTTTATAATTCCTTCATTGATGCATTGTCCTCATAGACACTCCTACAGTAACTGTTACTGTTATTTCCTCTACTTCTACTACCACAAAAATGACCAACCTGGATACTACTAACAAAACATTGATTATCACAACAAGTAATCATAACAATAAAATTATATTTTTATAGCACAAAAGTATAATAGCAGATAGTTTAATTATGTATTATACCTTCTATGAACAGGTGCAGCTGGAGGTGTTTGTTTAATTGTATTTTTAACTACTTTTTTTTCTGTTTATACTTTGTCTTAAAGAGGAGAGGAAAACAAAGTAATAGCTACAATATAAACCATTATTTTAATATATACAGTGAGCATTGCACAGATACAAGCAGAGCCACAGTACTGTGAAGTACTACCATTGGAAGAAAGAGTGAAAGTATCAGAATGCCAAGCATATGGTAAACTTGACCAGTTGAGGATAACAAGGAACACAAGTTAATAATTATAATGATAATTATAAAGGCTGCAATATGTATGCATACACCACAACATCATTATACAATACTTTATTATTATTACACAAGTGAATGATTGAGTGTTAATTAAAACCAGTTCTTAGATTATTAGTTGTATATACTGTTGAATATTGTACCCCATTGATAACTGGTGGATTATTAACCATAGTAACAACAGGTCGAGGATTATACCAGCAATTCTCATCATTATAAAGAGGAGGAGGAGGAGGGAGAGGAGAGGAAGGGAAGTCCAACTGAGCATATTCACTACCATCAATTGGTCTTGCTGAAAGAGGTGGAGTAGCTTCTGATGAAACGTTCAGCCTTGAAAGCTACAATGAAACAGAAAGACAACATGAATAGTGAAGATTATAATAATCAACATTCAATCACAATGAATGACTGGTATTCAAACAGTATATACATTCAATATGTATCTTACTATTATGACACTCTGTGGTCTGTCAAATGACTCAGTTGCTATATTGAGTGCTGACTCATAGGATGGTGGAGGTGATAATTCATCAGCTACAGGTAATGATGCTAACTGATTAAACTGATTCACTGCAGCCCATGCTGATAGCACTGGTGTAGGTCTCAATGAGGACTAGAAATTGATAAAAACTCATAAAGCAACTACAAATACACTAATTTAGCTACACTGCAATATAATAGTAATCAGTACTGTACATTTAATGCAATAATTATAGATATGGTCTCATAATAATAGGGGCTTACTCTTTTAGCCTGTGGTTGAACTGATAAATTATTATTATCTCTCAATATTAATCCAGTGTCTGATTGTGAGCTATAAGGAAATATTGCAAAAAATAAATCCTATTTTAAGTTGATATTTGGAAAACATTATACTATTCATCTTCTATGCATTAAAATTGTAGTATTTGGTAGGCAGTTTAGTTATAAGCACAAAAACTGCACAGAGGAATTAGGAATGACTGAAAATGACTTACTCTGGTGAAGGTAAGTCTGTTGTCACTGTTGACAATGATGATGTATTGAGAGATGAAGGAGAAGGAGGAGCGAGAGATGAGGAGGTCTCGTCTCGTCTCTAGTGACAGTTGAAGGAGTAACTTCATGTTCCAATTCATTGACTGGTCTACACTCATACCTTGAGAGAGAAAGAGAGAAAATGAAGTAGTATAATGCATTTAAGGTAAATAGTAATATGTCATAATAATACTGTTTCTTTGTAATAAAGATTCAAAATTTTTACTAAAAGGATAAATCGCCTATTATTAAATATTACAAATTGTTAAAGTTGCTTCAAAATTTGGTCAAAAAATCTTGTATTGTAGTACAGGGTACTTAAGTGTCAAAAATGAGAACAAAATTCTGCATTAAAAATTTTTTCTAATACATAATACATGTAATTTTGTTGTATTTTAAGTTATAGCTAATTCTGATAAAAATTGGATTTTTTATAAATTTTTAAAGTTACTCAAAAACTGAGCCAAAGTCCCTGTACTTATAGTACAGGCTTGTTGGCCAAATTTTATCAAAAATGGCTAAGTAAGAATTCTGCATTTTATAATTTTTTCTGTTACGTATACATGTATTTATGTTGTGTAGAAAATTTGAGCTGATTCTGATCAAATTTGAATTTTTTTATGAATTTTTAAAGTTACTCAAAAATTGGGCCAAAGTCACTGTACTATAGTACAGGCTTATTGGCCAAATTTCATCAAAAATGGCTGGGACAGAACTTTGCATTTTTATAATTTTTTCTGTTATGTATAAATGTACTTATGTTGTGTAGAAAGTTTGAGCTGATTTTGAGCAACTTTGAATTTTTTATGAATTTTTAAAGTTACTCAAAAGTTGGGCCAAAGTCACTGTACTAAGTACAGGCTCATTGGCAAGTTTTGTCAAAAATCACTTGGTGAGATTTCTTCAATTTCATAATTTATTTTGTTGCATATACATGTATTTGTGTTGTGTAAAAAGTTTGAGCTGATTCCAATCAAATTTGGATTTTTTATGAATTTTTAAAGTTACTCAAAAATTGGGCCAAAGTCACTGTACTATAGTACAGGCTCATTGGTCGAATTTCACCAAAAATCATTTGGTGAGAATTCTCTGATTTTATAATTTATTTTGATGCATATACATGTAATTGTGTTGTGTAAAAAGTTTGAGCTGATTCCAATCAAATTTGGATTTTTAATGAATTTTTAAAGTTACTCAAAAATTGGGCCAAAGTCACTGTACTATAAGTACAGGCTCATTGGCCAAATTTCACCAAGAATCACTTGGTGAGAATTCTATTTCTCATCTTCTATGCATTAAAATATTTTTTGGGCAGTTTAAGTATAAGTACTACACTAGGGAATGACTTACTCTGGTGAAGGTAGATCTGTTGTCACTATTGATGGTGATGATGTATTAAGAGATGAAGGAGGAGGAGCGAGCGATGGAGAAGTCTCATCACAAGTGAGTAACTTCACGTTCCAATTCATTGACTGGTCTACACTCATGCCTTGAGAGAGAAAAAGAAAAATAATGTATATAACGTAATAGTATGATAAATAGTAATGTCATAGTAATAATGTTTCTTTGTAAATTAGGGTCAAAATTTCAGCTAAGAGGACAAATCATTTATTATTAAATATTATGAATTGTTAAATTGCTTCAAAATTTAGTCAAAAAATCTTGTACTATAGTCCAGGGTACTTAATTGTCAAAAATGCGGACAAAATTTTTGCCTTTTTATAATTTTTTCTGATGCATATACATGTACTCATGTTGCATTTCAAGTTTGAGCTGGTTCTGATAAAAATTAGATTTTTTATAAATTTTAAAAGTTACTCAAAAATTGAGCCAAAATCCCTGTACTATATTTTCTCAAAAATGGCTAGGAAAGAATTCTGTATTTTCACAATTTTTTCTGATGCATATACAAGTACTTATGTTGTGTAAAAAGTTTGAGCTGATTCTAATCAAATTTGAATTTTTTTATAAATTTTCAAAGTTGCTCAAAAATCGGGTGTGAAAGTCCATGTACTATAGTACAGGCTCATTGGATAAATTTCGTCAAAAATGGTTAGGAAAGAATTTTGCATTTTTATAATTTTTTCTGTTACGTTAATTTTATATTCAGCCTCTAAATCAGGTATGAGAAATAATATTAAAGTATTTGATTCATATTAATTTTTATACATATTTTAACTGAAACAATCCTGCTGCCTACTATAAATTTAACTTTGTCATCAAATTCTTTAAAATAGTGGAGTAATTGCTTTAATTTGTGGTATTTTTGCAATAGTAGTATTTTTAATTATTGGTAAGTCCCACATTTTACAATAGTGAAATAATTTTTTACAACAGTTGTGGCAGTAAAGCTGGGTTCAGAATATTTGCGTTGCGACCGAAAGTGCTATATAACGCAATGGGCAAACACAAGAATAGAACTCAGGGGCGGTTGAGAGGAAAATGTAGCATGAGGCGAAGCCGAGTGCTACATTTTCGTCGAGACTGTCCCTGCATGAGTTCTATTCTTGCGTTTATCATTACGTTATATGGCACT